ACTTTAATATGATCGTAATTAGAAGATTATTCTGAAAGAACTTCAGTATCGCACGCCCCATGTTTCTAGTCCCTTTGAACAAAATGACTTTGACGTGGAAATTGTTTTATAATACCTGACCGAAGGAAATTTATGGTACACACTAATATCAGGATCCATCCTGTCTGGAACTTTGCCAGAAGCCGGAACTTTTTTTTGCTGCCAATTCTTCAGTTGTTATCACCGCCGACGTTTCGCCGAAATTTTTATCTTGGAAATAGAATAATCTACTGAACACTCACACTTACAAATGTAAAGCATTGTTATCCTAAACCCCACTGTCACGATAAAACTAGTTTCCAAATTCTACAAAAAACGTACACTTTCAAATTATGTATTTCCTTTAAATCTGTTCTCAAAATTGTGAATGAAATTCAATATAGAAATAAATATGTTTTAAGCGTTTTAATGACGTTGTTTGGAGGAAAATTAATATACTTTCGGCTTACAAACCCTTAATCAATTACGAACAAACTGGAGGTAAAGTGATTCCTTTACCGGAAGTGACGTTTCATCACTATAAATGCCTCCACATAAGATATCTGTGGTGCTCACCGACTAACCTGTGATATCGTCTTTGCATACCTTCTAGAACGTCTATCTCAGTTTTATTTTGCGTTGGACTTTCCTCTACACTGCAGGCATGAATATCCTACAGTGACTTTTCATATACGCTCTCTTCTCTATATATTGCATTAAAACTCTTTTTCATTTGAGAGTATCGTAATGTTTATTGTTACACAGCCCTATTGGTGGAAATATAGCAAAAACAAACTAATATATTGATATCAACTTTATTTCATTTCGAAAAAACACATATATATACTCAATATACAATAATTCTTCGAAAACAAGTTCTAATAAGTTTTATCAATCCGTTTCGTTTCGCATCTCGTTAAATTTTGACCTGATAACATACGGAAAGAAATATAAATGATACGGTAACTTTTATTGTAGGTAGTTCGACAGGATATGAAAGAAATATGAAACAGAGATAGACAGGGTGGAGAGGGATATTGCCAGATTTCCATGTACTGCCCAAATAAGTGAATCGCCATACCGATGTAGATTTTACAATGGTTTTAACTGTTCTCCTAATTTATAATGAAATTTTCCATTCTTCGGATCGACTTTGTTCATAAATATGCTATGTTCAAGGTCAGTCATGTCCTTGACGTCTTAGAAAGTTTATATTTTTATTTTTCTGGAAAAAAATAAAATATACATAATTGGTCTTAAAGCTATAATTCCACCAATATTGATCTTTTTTCAATAATATCCGCTTCCTTTCAATAGTGAATTCTCAATGTCTCTTGTTTGGCTTGAATTTAAGAGTTTGTACCTGGCAGTGTGATATGATTCGTATTGATTTCTTGTTTGGTACCGTTTTTCATCTCTATAACAATGATGTTGATTCTGATGTGAATCTTGAATATGTAATCATAAAAAAGGTTGACTTTAGCTTGAGGTAGAACAACTGTCGTGTGAAAACAGTAAATCCTATTCTGAAATCCAAAAATATTACAATTAGACATTTATACGGAAACGGACGCGTCATTTGCCAATAGAAATTGTGTAAAGTTTTGTATAATCTTTAAGTTATGATTTGGCTTTACTGACAACAGGGACAATAAAATCCTGTCTTTGGTGTCGTGTTTTCCCAATGATCATTGAAAATCTAAAGGAAATGTGTCGAAGGTATTCAGGTAATGATTTATTCAGTTAAAAATTGTTTTGAAAATATTTTATGAACTTGCAAATGTTTGTAAATAATTGTTAATTGAAACTACAAACTTTCGCATCATCACTATATCACAGTAATTTGATAGCTGTCGAGCTAATTAGTCAGTTCTCTCTTACATTTGTCATCTTTGCTGTTGCTTAAACTCTTACTTATCCAATATAAGCCAGTAGTTAACGTCTGAACATATCTGTAAAACTGCGGACTTTCAATCAACACGCACAACGAATTGTTGAAAAAGTTATTATCCTGTTTATAAACACATATATATTTGACTATATAGTCATAAAAAATAAAACGGCGCAGAACCATTCTGGTGTGTATAGGGTATAAACGCCCGATTCTTACCCTACCTGTATCCTAATTACCTTTATAGCTGTGATTAGAGAGGTAGGGAAGGTGAGGAGGAGGAGGGGGGGAGGTGAGGGGCTGGAGGTGGGGATGTTGGCGACGAGGCCAGGGAGATGGACAATAGAAGAAAATCTATCTCAGAGTTTCCGACATGTGATGAAAACTTTAGCGTTAGAGATGTGCGTCAAAATTTATCTAAGAATGTATTTCAGTCATCGCCTCATTAACAAAGTCTGGCTGTTTTAAACGATCAGGAGATTAATTTTCTCGGTTTGTGCTATTCTTCCTACAAAGGGGGAGTACTGTGTGTGAAGGTAATATTTTGATACCTGGTATAACATCCTGTTTAACGTTTTTCTTTTAACGTTTCTTATAGATCGACTTTTTGTCATTTTTGGCAAAACCCTTTTTTTAATTATGTTTCTCATTGAATAGTTTTTAAAAAACCAAACAAACAAACAAAAATACACCCACACCTACACCCACACATCCCCATTCCAGGTGAACAAAACACTACACATATTCTAATTGTGTTAAGTCTCATAATACATGATGCCAAGGAAAAGCTCTGTGTATGTAATACAACAAAATAAGATATGGCTCCGTTCATAATTATGATGTCTTTTGATAACGACGATCTTGTATTTGATAGCTTGGGTTAAGGATATGTCTAACGGAACTATGTGCCTTTGGTTTAGGATAAGCCCTTAATACATAACTTTGAATTAGGATAAGTCCTGTGTATACGTGAGGTTAAGATAATTCATTTGTATTTGGTCCATTGCAAATGGAATAAGCACTATTTATGTCACTTGGCATTAGAATAAGCCTTTTGTGTTTAACTTGGTATAGGGATTAAAATAAACCCGCTGTATTTGGTCCCTTGAAAATAGGACAAGGCCAATGTCTATAACTTGTCATTAGGATAAGAACTTTGTATCTAGTGCCTTAGGATTATGATAAGTCCTTTACATATATAACTTGAGACATATATTTGATGCCCTGGGATTATAATAGGTGCCCTGGGATTAGGATGATCCCTTTATATATAACTTGAGACATATATTTGATCCCCTGGGATATAACTTGAAATTAGGAGACTATGATAAGCCAATGTATGCCTTCGGATTAAAATGAACTCCGTATTACGTTGTGATGGGATTCTAAATGCTTTCCTTGACAAATTTGACATTCTACAGAATGTTTCATTATATCCACTAATATTCAAGTTGAAATTAATGAAAAACACATAAAAACAAACAAGCAATAAACAGTTTTTGATATTTTGTTGATTAAATTGTATAAAACATCCCATATAAATTATTTATTAATGTTAAATCCGATGTGACCGATTGCTCGAAAAAATAAGAAAATATAAAAATGTGTTTCTTACTCTGTCGTATAATTTTAATTGAATATTCACAATGCCATGCTTCTGCAAAATTGTGGAACTATTTCCATTCCATGTAGAATTTCACCATTCCCATACAAAACAATTATCCTTCGAATGAAAACCTTCAGTCTATAAATGATCCCGAAGTATTTGGTTGATGTATTCTCTAAACCTTTATTGTAGTAAACTTTCCCTTGTGGAATTAAACATATCATGTTTGTTGTATAGTTCTGGTGATTAATTCCGTCACACATTCCATACATTTTCCACACACCATTGCTGAAACATTTATCAGGCCTGAATTGCACCTGCCCCGATTCTCACTTTATGAGCAAGGCATTACATGTAAAGTCAGAATAACACGACGAGTGCCGTTAATGAAATATCTTCTGTGGTTTTTATTTTCATTTTACCTGTACATGGCCGCCGTTTAAACGTTCTTTAATTCATTTCTACCCATCATTTCTTCGATTACAGCACGGCATTTACCTGTTTTTCTCTCTGAGATATCCTATTTGGATCTTTAGTTGCTGCAGTTCAGTCTCTTTAAGACATCGTGACCTAAATTAGGATTTAAAACGTTCTTGTCAAAAGACATTTGGAAAGGCTGATCTGTTTCGTCCGTCGCTGTTAACGTTTTCAAATATTATCATAAGATCCAATGGTGGGGTTCAGTTTAAAGTTGCGAGGAATGTTCCTGAGTTTTTTGTTTTCCTGGTCGGTCCGAAATTCAGAACAGCCGCAATTGTCGTCGTGCTGAAACAAATACACATTCAAAACGTTTCCTTTTCCACTGCTACTAATTAAGAAAGCCGACAAAATGGTGTTCGTCCTCATGAATAGTTCATTATAGCAGTCATGGCGACAATTTTGTAACATGATTGCGCAATCATAGTTTTCTTTAACAACGCCTCTTTTAAATTTTTTAAATTCCATGAGTGGAATTTAGCTGAAACTTGCAAGGAATATTCTAAGGTGGTCCTGACAGAGTGTTCTAACTTTTCGGCTCGGTCCGAAAGCCGTTATGACCGCTATATGACACATTTTAAACTTCTCCAGAAGTTTGAAGTGATGTTATTGAAAGGACTCCGACAAAGTGTTTTTATCTATTGGTCTCGTCAAATCTTCGACATGATAACAACAACAGCAATTTTGTAACAATATTTCCCTATCATGGTTTTCCTCAACAGCAACAACAACTATTCTAAATATCTTCCCAAGTTCTACCACTGGGATTTAGCTCAAATTTGTTCGAAATGATCTTGAAAAACTGGCGTCATTGAGCTGAAATTTTGAGGAAATATTGAAAAATTGAATGGAAGAATGATGTATTTTTGTTACATTTAATTCTACTATATTGTTTTAATCATTTGATAATTGTCACTCCCTCTGTTATATAAGTTTTTATTTTACTGTAAACAACCCTGATCCTCCTGTTTGTTTGATTTCTCACTAAGATTAATTGCTTTTTTCCAGACATGAAGGACGTGTTCGACCTTTTCGACTTCTGGGATGGTCGAGACGGGCTTATAGACGCTTTTAAAGTAGGAGATCTTCTTCGCTGCTGTGGCCTCAACCCCACCGACACACTAGTCAGGAAGACGGGTGGCACGAAAAAAATGGGTAAAATCACTTTATCTGAAAGTCATTCCATGATTAAGTCCTTGGTAGTGTATTTCAGACTTCAATTCTTTTGTGATAAAGATGTTCTCATATTCGGTTTCATGTAAAGGTTATGTATTTTGATTCCCTTTATCAGCTTCATGTCTCGAATAAAGGGAGACATCGTTATAGTAACCCCATTTCTATTCATTGTCATTTTTGTTGCGGGTCTTCTGATAAATCTAGCTTCTTAGGCTTTAAGACTGCATTAATTTAACACGAGGCAAGCACTGCAATCATATCATGATGACGATGACCCTGAATTCAAGGCGAAAGGCCAAATAAGTGCACAGTTGTTCGTACATTCTGTACATCCGGGCCATAATTTTCTGATCTCCGCCCCCAAAGTGTAGTATTATAACGGTATATCACATGGAGTATTATCATATCATAATCTCTTTCCTGTTAGTCAGCTCCTGATCGGGTCGTTTTATATCAGATAACGTTGCATTTGCTTATATTTTATTATCTTTGTTGTCTTTGTTCTTAGAGATTTTGCGATGGTTCAGATTTGTTTAACAAAAATGAAAACTTTTTGATGAAAATGTACAGAGGCTTGAAGTAAAATATTATTTGATTTCTGCATAGTGTCTACGGAAGGAAGCTTTCATGATTTTGATTTCTTTCCACAGGCGAGAAACAGTATTCTTTTGAAGAATTTTTGCCAATTGTTAAACAAATTGTGAAAGAGAAAGACACAGGAACGAAAGCTGAATTTATGGAGGCCTTCAAGTCTTTCGACAGAGAGGGCATGGGCTTCATATCTTTGGGAGAGGCGCGACATGTGCTAACGGCAATAGGTACTGCACATCTTCACTAACGTCATAAAGACGTTGGTGCAATGAATCATTGAACTATTTTGTTATGACAGTTATAACGACCATAAAAACCTTGACCAAAACTGTTTTTTGCTTATATTTATGTGCCTTACGCATGATGCATTTAAGCCCGATTATAACTTGATTTCAATTAGAATTACTAATTCATTATTGACAGTGTACACCATTATGTGGAATAGCCATTTTGACGTTAAGCAGACACTGTATCTAAGTCCACAAAACGGACGTATCTTTCCATATTGGAACAGAGGCATTGTCATGGAAATGCAAATATTTGTTTACCTGGTATTTTTAGAAGAAACATTATATCTAAACATTTCAGCTACTAAACATGAAGATCAAAAACTCGATTCAAATGACTCCTCTTAATTAGTATCTTTATCAAAGACAGTTGTGCGGCCTCTGTCATGAACGAAAAACCATCTCAGTTTTATGCAAGCTGCATTTATTCTCATGATAAGATGTTAAATATTGAATACAGTTTTTTTTATTTTAATTATTTGATTATTTCCGCAGTAATGGCTTTGTTGAATGTTTTTTTCACTGTATGAATAAGACATTGTATTAGATGTGTTAAAAGAGGGGTTGCATTTTCTCCATTCTGCGGCCATTTTCTGATAAGGTTTCGTTTTTTCTTATTTTTACTTTCAAGAACATGCTTTTCAGTCATGCTATTCAAAACATCATTTTGTTTATAAAAATACATTTAACAAAAAAATCTCACTCAATATCTCATGTTTTGACTGGAATACTTGATGCAGCTGACCTTCTGCAGATTCTTGGAAAAAACAAACCTATTAGTGAATGACCTCAGAATGGCCCAAATTGGTATCCCTCCTTTTCAAACTTAGTGAAATTATTCTCTGTTACGTCTAATTTTTACCTACAGATGATGATTTTCTTTGTTGTGTTAACTTTACTTTCTCCTACTAGAACTATTTGTGTGATGAATTAATTGAATTCTGCTACAACAAATTCGTTCCGTTATCGCGCTCAAATAGTTTATGCATTATATGTATTTATAACTTTTCCCTTGTTGTTATATATAGATATTGAATATTTGAAAATGCATCCAATTCTTTGCATTCTTTTAGTTGAAATATAATTTAGATGATCGTTACATTCGATATATGTGTAACTAACAATCTATATTTTACTTGACAGGTGACCGATTAGAAGATAGCGAATTGGATGACATTTTAGAACTCACAGACATACAAGCCGATTTGGACGGCAATATCAAATATGAAGGTTAGTGATATCAAGTAAACACTGAGGGAGATTTGTACATATACATCCTTTAGATTTCAAATCTCTTCATCAGTCGTTTTCTTTTAGCAGTATGTACGTATGAAAATATATGATTATAATTTGTTGTTCTTGATAATTATACAATCCTTCAAGTGTGGTTTGTTTTATAATAGATGTGACACATTAGTAGCCCAAAGCATTCAGATTTTTTTCTGTTTCTGTTTTCTAGTTTGGTCTTTGGTGTTATGGGAGTATTTATTTAAAATTTGATAATGAATAAGATTTACATATGTTGATGGAAATAACAAATTAAAACTCTAATGACAAACAGTAAGGTTCCACGTAATGCACGTGATGACCATTCTTTGAAATAAAGCCCGCGGCTGTGAATTTTTCTATTCTACGTCATTTTTAGTTGGTGAAATCACATGATGAACAACATGAGAAAATAGCGTTACCTTTAAACTGTTTTGACATATTTTCTTTTCATTTACAGAATTTATCCAGAAGGTATTGGATGGGCCAAAAGGATGTTAGATTCACGCGATGCTACGCAGCCAATGAACTGAGTTCTAACCATGTTGAAATTTTGGAAAACGAGGCTGCATTTCGGTTTTTGTTTATATTTGAGCCGTACTTCCTGTAAAGAGAGGATGGTTATAAGATCAGTCAGTACCAAGGGTATCTTGCTTTAGTTTAACATGGGAAGCACCTGTTATCTATATAAATATACATACTGATTTGTCATGGAAAACTTTTACTGAAATAATGATTTTCATTTTAAAATCAGAATGAAATTATGAGATGAGATAAAAAATTATTTTAGAAATTTCTTTCTCATTTATTTTTGTAGTAAAAAAGACAAAAAATAAGAACTCATTACAGAAAAGAATTCATTGTTCAAAAATCGGGACCGAATTTAATTTCGAAATGAAAGAATTTCCAATGATACGACTCTGATATGAACATATTGTCTGAAGTTTAAAACATGGTTATTAGTAACACCAAGGACAACAGCCACTAGTACAATAGTTATTTGCATATAATATCTAAAGATTGATATATCTATATTATATATACAATATATAAATAGTAGCTTATATTAATTGCAAATTAGGAAGTAGAGAGATGTGGTTAGTTTCTGGTTTTTGGAGAAGAAGTGTCTATAAGCACTTTTAAATGTAAATGCCTTGACACGAAATCTCTTCGTATATATGGTCTTAATCATATTTAGTACAAAAGCCCTGCGCATTGTATATAATTACAAATTTCTCAATATCACTTTTAATGACGGGAAATTAGAAGGGTATTTTTTCTCTGTGTTTGTGTGTGCATACCGTAACACATTAGTACAATCTGCTTCAGCAGGTATGTTGAACATGTTTATCATACTCATAGTAGAAAGCGAACCATGAATTTGATAAGCCATGCATGAAAATACATTTTTGGTCATGACTTCCCAGATATTTGTCTATCATGAATTTCAAACTGGCGCTACCAGAAGATCTTATTTTACAAATTTAAAACATCACTCGTACATATTTTATTAGCAGTGTGTCGTGTGAATCCGACACAATTATCGACAAGAACGTATACCATGCAATTGACAACTGTATAGTTCTTTAGTTCTATCAATGCATGATAATTGTCATGCCTCGACTTAAGAACTTATTTTGAACTTTCTGTTCTATGTTTGGATTTAGATTCTTTTACGTGTACCGTTATCTTCACATATACAATTACAGCTCAACTGATTTCTTCATATTTTTATTCAGATGAAAATATTTTTTTATTCAAACGTAAAGAGACATCGTGCATTGATACATCATTTTGTGTTCATTCATACTGATTTACTTATGCTACGGTGACTCTTTAATAATTTTATACTATCTAGAAACCATTCAGAATGGCGCCTTCCAATACTGAGCAATAAGAAGTTAATTAAAGTTTCATGTTTCTTATCGCGATAGAGCATCGTATTTAATTAAAAATAACTTTAAGAATTTTTGAAAAATCAAATGTCTCAAAAGAAAACACCTTCTGGGTACATAAATTGATTGATACAATATACATGTTTTTTTCATTGAGCGTTTAATGATTTGTTGGTATCATTTTATACTATGTGGATCATGATGAAGCCGTTTAGATGTATATGGCCAAATTCATTCGAATATACGAAACTACGGCTTGGAAGTTTTCTACATATCTATTCAGACGTTATGCAATACAATACAAATACTTGTAGATGTAGGTGCTTTAGTTGTCAATAGCAACATTCCTATTTTATTGTTTGTCTGCAAAATAAACTGAAAACTGTACTTTTTTCTGTTTGCTTTCTTTTGTTCATCTAAATGTCGGGGAACTCAGTTCGTGTCTGTATCTATACCCGTGGTAATATAACTGTGCAGTTAAAATCAAACAGTGATGGAAAGAGTTATGCATTTCCGATATAATATATATAACGGAAAAGCAATTGTATGTGTGTATCTGCACCTTTTCTGTGTAAGCGAACAAGTGGAAACGGATATTCCAGATAAAAAATGACAAAGCGGAAGTATGCAAAGTACATGAAGTGATGTGATAGCAATTCACAAGTAGTATGTTTAGGTTTTAGTGTGTATTAACGTGTTTGGGAAAGGCTTTATGTAAGTTGTAAAACTTGTCCTCATTCCTACTGCTATTTATGTGCAATAAAAAATGTTTACATCAAATTTATATACCTAACAACAAATTTGGCAAACTTCGTTTTCACATAATTTTTTATTTTACAAACAGGGATTTTTATTTGGTTGATTAAGCAAACGCTAAGTTATTTCAAAATGTGGCGAAATATAATTGAAATATGTCAGGCGAGGTAACTCTTCGCCAATATAACAGGTTAAAAATGTTATGTGGATAGGGTAAGAAGACACGATTCACAACAGGGTAAAAATTAAAATCTGAATTCAATATCGCTAAGATAAAGACTGCAGATAAGCATATATAATTCTTTTAAAACAAAATGGGCGATTTCATGATATATGATCACTCGATGATTTTTCAAACCGGTTCTTGATGTGGTCTTTACTCTCATGGAATGGTTACGTCACTTCCGCTCCATCAATTATAACCGAAAGGAAAATGTAAATGAAATGTCATTTATGATTTTTAATGCTGGAAACATGAAGTCAAGTGATCACTATGAGCAAATGATGGCCTTCTTCCAAACACCTTGACTATTAGACTCTACTGCAGCAACACGTTGGTGCATAAAAAGGTAAAAAGGTTAATGCCGACATCGTTGGAATGACGTCACATTCATAAGCCAGCGGGGATAGAAAACATTAATCTTTCGCTCCCCTTTTGGATCAGATTAGATAATCTTTGCACTCGGAGAAAATGTAAAGTACCCAACTACTCAGCCTTGTGTTTGTTTATCGACCAAACCTCTTCCTATCCCCTCCACTTGCACTTAGAGCTGTTTGATTGAACATAAGTCACCTATGATCAGCCTCAAATCTTGTACCAGTTCGGCTATGAAAAATGGCTTAGATTTCTACGACATATGTTTTCTTATTCAAACGATAATATATTAACATGTGAAATATTATTAAGTTGCTACATGTTATCAAGACAAAGTAAAGTTATTCACTTGTGTGTCTTTCGTACAAGATAGCAGGTGGTAGAAGACACCGCTGGTAGACTTTAAGTCCTTGAGGTTTGCCGTAACCTGCTTGCCACGTTTTAATTCAGTCTCGAATACTGGCACGGTAAGGAAAATAAACATGAATTTGACGCTTTTCTAAAATTATCTGATTTATGAAAATTACAAACTTTATCTAATTTTGGGGCTGCTGCACCTCCATGTCTTGATTTTGACTTTCCTTTTGATCACTTTGGATTTTTCTTAGTCGCCTCCTAGGCTTCAAAATTTAGGTTCTAAGCATCACTGACGAGTCCTAGAAGGACGAAACAGCTGTATGATGCAGTTTAACACATTGTTTGGCTCTACTCTATCTTAATCTAAATTATTAAAAGGTGCTATTCACTTGTGTGTCTATTGTACAATCTTTAAAAGCATGTGTGTCTCTGTCCTTGGCACTTAGTATTTTACATACTGGTATTTGAATGACAAATAGCTTACAATTAATGAAAAGGACCATACGCGACACTTATCATACGACTCTCCTTTCTATTGACTGTCGTCAAATCATGGTTTCTACTGTTGCAGTAGAGGTTCATTCTTAAAGGTTCGCGTTTATGAATATCAACGCGTATTCTATGTCTTACCAATGTGGTATACTTTGTACAGACAGTACAGGGATCATGTATTTATCACAGTGGACTGAAATTCTTTATAAAGCCTGTAGAAATTCGCACATCAATGTCATGACGTTTCATAGTAGTAAATAATTAATATGATGATCAAACATTTGCAGAACAGATACATACCAGTACATGAACAAATATATAATGGCTATGGATTTATTACTTGTTGACAGAAGAAATTTTAAGTTCTCAACATGTTTGACACCTATGACATTGAAAGTGTGTCAGGGTCATTCATTTGAACAAACCCTTCATCCCAGTACGCCACAGGCCCAATATCAGCACTCTGGGCTTTATAGTTATTGAGAAGAAGTTGTTTGCAAAATTAACACAATTTAACCCCTTTTACCTTAAAGCGCGTTAAGGTAAGTTATTTGAAAAAAATTGGTAGCTCTTCATCTTAGCATGATACAGGCCCAATATCAGCATTCTGGACAGTGTAGTTAGGGAGAAGAAATGGTCTGAGATTTTAACACATTTGACGCTTCTGATCTTGAAAATGGGTCGAAGTCAGTCATTCTTTTCAACAATTTTGTTATTCTTTCATCCTAGCATGCTACATGCCTAATATCATTATTGAGAAGAAGATATTTGGAAAGTTCATGTACAGCACCCAGCGGCTGATGAAATACAATGGCTGAAAGCTATCCTGATTCGATGGGCCAGATGACCAAACATGAGGCCCAAGGGATTTGCTTTGCTCACCTGGCTAATTCAACTATTCAGTCAATCAACTGAGCATTTATTGTCAACCATTTAAGTCTGAGGAAGAAGAAAATTACTAGAGAATGAAGCATCAGTAGCACCACCTAAATGTATCAATCATGTTCAAATCCTGTAGGCGATATGGGCTGCAAATACTGACATTGAGCAAGGTATTTCACTTACATTCCATACTTGATGACTTTAAATTGTGGCACGCATACACACACACACACACACACACACACACACACACACACACACACACACACACTCTCTCTCTCTCTCTCTCTCTCTCTCTCTCTCTCTCTCTCACTCTCTCTCTCTCACACACACACACACACACACCCACCCACCCACACACACACACACACACACACACACACACACACACATACACACACACATATATATATATATTGCTATAGTGAAAATGTGATGAATTCTAATATAATTCTAATAATATTTATGTATATACATACATTAACAAAACATAACAGATGTAAATAGTTGGATATTGGAATTCTATTTATGACAAATAAATAATGATAAAATAATAATACAAAGACGTGTTTATGAAAAACTGCAACAAGTGGAACATTAAAATCGAATCGTGTAAGACATGTTACATGTACACTTTGTGAAACATTTGTATTCATTCTGGTAATTATTTTGTTTACTTTCAAATGTCAAGGTCAAGGTGATATGGTAAAAAATTTTAGTACCCAAGAAACGTCTTGTAAAAAGGGACACATGAAAGCCATCCCTCTTACCGTGCAATAGTTACGTGCAAGATTAAAGTTGGCAACAGAAAAACAGACAGACAAACAGACAGACAGCACAAAAACAATATGCCCCCGACCTTTCGATCCAGGAGCATAAAAATGCAAAATAATATACATATATATTCCATAAGTAAGAAAGTGTAAATATCATATACATAGTAAGTGATATGAGGTTACAGTGATAAGCACACACACGTTAGCACGAAAAATGACAATACAAAGAATACCCTCGATATTTTAAACTATAAGATACGAAAAACAACCCAGTAACGTTATAGACAAACATTTAAAAGATGGAAATCAAATGGATGTATTGAAGTTTCTAAAAATATGACCTCATAAATTTTCCGATATCCTGTATGCTCCTTCGGGCCAGGTGAGCTTATAAATGTTGACTTGTTCTTTAGCAATTTTGTTGCCATGTTCCGGAAACCACGGAATTTGTAATTTATTTTGCCTATATGATTTTAATAATTGTTTCCAAGAAAGCAAGAAAAATAAAGAGAACTCCTACATCGCAATGGCACCTCTATAGGAACAGGATGATAAATGTATAAAGTTTCTGGTAGTTATCAGAATGGTTTTGATATTTTACTTCAGAAACAGTCAACCATGGGGTTACGAAGAATACCTACACTCTCGGGTTTTTTCATATACATATATATTTTTGCAGTTTTTTAGAGTAAAATAAAAAATATCTGAACATGTGATTCCTTTTTCTGTTGTGAAATTTAAAAGGTTTATAGGGCCTGTGGTTTGTTTTTATACTACATACATGTATATCTTTAAGTGCAACAAAGACACCTATTGACTACATTTGGGACATATACCAATGACATTTGTTCACCATTTAAAATCATTTCAAAACATTGGTTATATGTATCCTCTGTACACGCAGGTAATTTCAGAAAAAATTAAATATGGGGAAATAATTTTCTAGCATTATGAACATGTTAGGTAGTGTACAGTTACAGAAATGATGTTAAACATTCTTAAAAGAGAAAATTAAAAAAAGATCTTTAGAATCTACACTCACTTGAAACTAACAACATTTTATATGCATATGACATAACATACATGTAATAATTAGCAAATATAACTGAGTCTTGTTTAATGCTGTAATTGATATGGAAATGACCATACCTGATAATAGGCCAATTCAACAGTGTTAGAAGTATTCACATATAAAAAGGAAGCTGTGTATTACATTCCTACCAGCATCTAAATAGGTGAGCCTCAAAATCTTTCAACAAAGATAAGTTATAACTATTTGGAGGATTAATTTGTTATGTTTTTCAGTCTCTTCCGCCCTAATGCAAAACCACTTCAACTGTTCTATATTTAATCTTCAATAACATTTGCTTTTGGTGGATGATACAGCAAAAAGAATATGATGACTTCTTTGCGTGTTTTAGAACGTTTCAGAGAACATCATTTTAGATGTAATCAGCATTTTATAATAATACATGTACCAAGTATGTGTATTGTTTCCAACAAGCTTTATTATACACATATATTTTTGT